AGCGATCATCAATACAATGAGTCTTGCTTTCATATGTTGACTCATAATCTGATAAAACCTCGAGTGCCCTCGTGTTGATCTTGTCAACTCGATGGTTACACACATTAGATCCCATTAACTCGTTAGTTACAAAGACTGTTTCTAGTTCTTCTCTTGTTCTTGGTGAACATGAAGTTTGGAATTTATCTGCAACACTTCAACGATTAAAGGCATCTTCACTCTTGGTTTGTTGTGAATTGTGTTTTATATTGATGTGTTTATTCTTGCTTGTGTACTTTGTTATAGATTGTAATCAAAAGATTTTCTAGCATCAGTTTTATGATTATCTCGAATAAAGGGAACCGATTCATGAGCTTTTAAATCAAAAGATTTTCTAGCATCAGTTTTATGATTATCCTGAAAAAGGATATGTACAGGTCCTTTGAAAAAGTTTTATATTCCTTTTTAAACTATTCATATATTAATAATCTCTTACGCTATTATCTTCTTACCATTTTTTTCCTATACCATACTAAATGAATTGATGGTGAATTCTAAATTCTAGAATGAAACTTAACTTCATAATACAGAAGATAAACCACTTCTCTTTGATAAGTTTACACCGTTTATGATTCACGCTGATTCCACCTTAGCGTGATTAAAACATTCTATTATCTTCTCGAATTCTTCTTAATAAAACTTAATGATTCACTGTGAGATACCACACACTGATAAAAGTTTGAAACTCTGTGTTGATGTTTAGTCTATTTATTGTAGGCTATCATACACACCAATCCCATCTTACCCTTAAATTCTTCTTCAAAGCTTTATGATTCAACGTAGTGTACTATACATTGAAGAGAGCTTGAAAAATCTATGTCGATGGTTAGGCGATGTACCGTAGCTTATCACACACACCAATCCATTCTCGCCATACATTCTTATTTAGAATTTTATGATTCAACATATGAAACCAGACGCTGATGAGAATTCGAAAACTCTGTGCCGATGGGTATATCGTGTAAAGTGATGTGTTACACGCACCTACCCATTCTATCCTAACATATATTCTATTAAAGAAGTTAATGATTCATTGTATTTGCGATACACTGATAAAACTTCGACACTCTTGACGATGGGTACATTTCATATCGGAATGTATTACACGCATCATTCCATTCTCGCCTTTTATTTCTCTAATAAAAGAAGTTGATGATTCAACGTATAAAACCATAAGCTGATGAAACCTCGCAATACTATGTCAGTGAATGATAGTTCAAACCCATGCTATCAGGAGACATCAAAATCTCACTCGTTTGTCAACTGCATCCTTCATCCACTGATAGAGGAATTTAGATATGTTGATCGCTTCCGCTAGTAATACAATGTTGTTGATGTCAAAAAGGGGAGATACCCTTCATTTAAGGGGGATATGATATCAACATTTGATATCCTTCATTTAAGGGGGAGCTGATATCAACATTCTATATCATTCTGCAACAACTTTTGATAAGTTGATTGTTTCCGTTGATCTTACTGTCATACTGTTGATAACCAAAAATGGGGGACAATCATACACCTTCTCAGCGGGAGATAGTTATACCAAGAATTTTGAAGATTAGTTTTGACATCATCATATATAGGGAGATTGTAAGGTCACACCTTATGATCTGATGAGTCAAACACTACATACTGACCACCAGCGCCAGCGCCAACTCTAGAATGATAAGCGTCAGCATGAACTCTATGATCTTGGTGATCATATGTATATTAGGCAGTTATACATTGTATATATAGGATATATGTCTGATTCGTAATCTTAGTGATTAGGATCAGACCTTTACATAGATTAGTATACATCCCTTAATTGTGGGATCTTCGTTATTATAATCGTATATAATCAACATTATGGTGAAACCCTAATGTATGCTTGGTGCCGTCTTTGTGACCTCATTCTCTTTGTGAGAACTCTCTTTCTTAGTGAAAGTATATTTGTGATCATACATGTTCTTCCGTTTTCTGATTAATCTTTGCTTTTTTTATTTGTTCTTTGTTGTTCATACTTGAGTGTATCCGATCGATACAAACCTTCAGGAAGTGACGACAACTAAAGGAATACCAATCTCCATATATCTTCAAACGATAAAAATAATGAAACAATGACACATGTAAGGGAATACGGGCAGATACGCAGAAAGCTTCAAAAGCAATAAGTTTTGAAATAGCATTAGGGCACAACTAAAGTGGGTGGATCCCATAAAAGCGTAATATTTCTAAGAAGAATGACGTAGGAGGAAGCCTTAAACCACATACAAGATGCCTAATGTAAAACCCCACCTTACTAGCCGGAGCATCAAGCACGCACGACGATGAAAAAAGAAGGCCAACATCATGTATCGAGGTGAGTTGACATTCATGCACATATCGATCCAATTTAAAGTTGTCAACCTCACACACAATGGACGACCTATCACAAGCCATAACAAAGGACATCATGATAAGAAAAAAAGTTCAGGAATTAGAAGATTCTAAAAATGAAGTTTTACTCACTATATCAAAGAAAAGCCTGGTTGAAGCATTAATTAGGCAATCCAATCAAATAAAACGACATGACTAACTAACGACGGATGCATTTAATGAAGCTTGTAACTCTCACAAGCGGGAAGTTTCGCCTATTGAGAAAGATTTAAAAGTCTGAACGGTAAAAATACTTTAGCGCCACTACTTTTACCCTTCAGACTGGGGATTTAATGGTGTACCCGGTTCGATCGATCGGATCAGTGTCTACTCAGTCACACCAGGACGGCTTAAAAGCAACTAACGGTCCAACTCATCATATTAATACCTACCGGAGTGTAATCGGATCGGCGTATAAATGAAAAGACACAAATGTTCAAACCGACCAACCTATGAGGCAATACTAATACACAACAAACAAAAGAAGGAATATGTAAGTACAAGATCCTGACAATAATAAAATATAGAGCGGCACATGCAACCTAGCTGTCTTTACCCGGTCAGTGCAAGTTATCGGGTAAAACCTTGTATCAAAGAGAATGAAGATGCCTATAAAAGCTTGCGGAGACACGATGATAAGGTAACATTATGATAGATCAATGAATTCTCGTAATTTATCTTTGAGCTTTAAAATGACAAGACAGCTGACTTAGGCATCAGAGAGACATACTAGAGTCCATCCTTCAATATAGCTTTGTAACCTAGTGTTTGTCTCTTCCTTGTAGCATGCAATCCAGCCTGCCCATTAGAAGAGGTTCTCGTCGACCAGCTACCATGTACCTGGATACCAAGTAGCAACACATTCCTTATACATGTTTATAATTATACGGTTCTTGATTGTTTTTTGAGATCATGATACCTATACCTAAGATATAGGATTTCTTATTTTGCATAATCTTAAGCTGTGTATGATGTTTCACCTCCAAGCTACATCTTTGCAAACACAATTATAAAAACCCAACCTTACTCGATATCATCTACAAAAAAAAAAATGAAAACCTAGCTACAATTCTACAATCATGATCAAACTACATTTGTTCTTGCTGCTCTATAAAATCCATAAAAAAGAGCTTGTTAAATTGTGTTCTCCCAGTCATACATATAATTGAAGTACACGTTCTTCATACAAAGCATTTGTTCTTGAAATTTTTTGCATGTTTTTTAAATGAATGTATGAGTTTTCTAAGGAAAATACATCAATGTTGTTTTTCATTAGTATGAGTTTTTTTTTTGCATGTTTTTGACATTTTATTCCCTAGAATGTATTATACATGTTATTTAAATAATAGGTCATGGTTTGTATGATACTAATATTCTTCATCTAATAAGTAATGCTACTTGGCTAATCATTTGGGATTTTTGGGCTAACAATATGGACTGTTCATATTCCAGACTAAAATTTTGGATTTCGAAGAAAAAAAACATTGGAATTTCAAGAAAAAAAAATTATTTTTTCTATAATTTAACAAAAAATTAAACAAACATAATAATATGAGTTATACACAATATGAGTGCATAAAATTAGACGTTTTGTTGAAAAATGATAACATTAAACATTACGAAATGTAGCATTCGAAAACCCAAAAAAAATAAAATAATTTCTTTGAAAAATAAATAAAAATAAATAAACTGAAAAAAAGATAAACAATATTCCGGAATATGAACTGTACTCCAGAATTAAGCGTTTTGAATAAACTTTATTATTTTTCAAAAACTAAAAAAATATGAATATTTTCTTTAAAACCTCGTTTATAATGATCACTTTACTCAATTTCCTTTAAATTTTTTATTGGTAATATTAACTCAATCAACCGGTTATTATGAAATCAACCGGTTATCATAATATGTAATTTAAACAAAACATATATTTAGATGATATTGTGTGTATAAAGGCTTTAGTTCACTAATATTCTTTATACCGGCTGAACTTGGATAATGCATTTTATTAAATTTTAAAACTTAATTACCTCCTTAATTAATTTTCCATTTTTAGTATTAATATGAAATATTTATACTTTAAGTTGATAATAAGATTAATACTAGTTTCGGAGTTTAACAAAAAAAAGAAAAGAAGAGAAAAAAAAGTTAGAAGAGAAAAAAAAAAAAAAAAAAATGAAAACAAAATTTTCTTTTGTGTTTTACGATTAGGAGAGAAGTGGGAAAAAAAAATTATCATTTTATTTTTTTTCTTTTCAAATCCACCCAAATACGAAAGAAAGTTAAATAGGAAGGAAAGTTAAAAAAAGAAAACGATCATTCTATTCCCTCGGCTTCCATCTGCTTCATTCCTTTAATTCCTTTAATGAACAACAATTTGTTTTATTTTCTTATATCACTTATTTACTTTCCTTTCCACTTCCTTACTCTAAATTAAAACTATATATTAAAACTATATGATACAGTGGAAAAAGATTTACATTCAATTTCTTTAAAGAAAATTTTGCATTTATAATTAAATTTGTGAATTTATGTTTTGGGTGAGGATATCGTTTTCCAAGCTAACTGTTCCGTAATCTGTTCATGAAATTAGTAATCTTTCTAAACAACATCGTACATATTTGCTTCGAATTTCAGTCAGAATTCATCTTATAGAAGCAAGATAAACATGAAAAAATCGTTCCAGAACAACGATGGGAGTAGCAATGGCAGCTTTTTGGAATTAACATTGAAATTAAAGCAGTGAAAACAACTAGGGCTTATTACTCTGTTTCTGTGCTTTTCTTCTGGTTCTTCTTTCTCTTGAGCTCAAAGACGTTTTAAATCCACCGTTTTCAGATCCATCGTCATCCCAATCTCTGTTCAACGATTTCTGAAATTCGAAATTGCGAAAATGAACTGATTTGAATTTTGTAAACGGATAAAGTATCAATCGAGAGAGAGATTACCTCTCGAAGCTCGGAGAAGCTGACGACATAGAAAGTAACGGCAGCTGCTGCTACGATTCCGAGCACCGGGAGCCCTATTTGCTGTAATCCATCCATCTGATCTCCGAATTCCTCTCACTTGAAATTTGGAACTTTTTATGTGGCTTCAAAGTGTTTAAACACTATCCTTTATTCCTTTGAAATAACCATTTTTCTTTAAAATTGTTTTTTTTTTCAAAAAAAGTTTTGATGCATATAAAAAAACACACACACATTCTACCCATTATATAAGTATATAACTATACCAAAACACAATTTAATGAATATTACACACTTCATACACCTTCAACTGCCTCACATTTTATTTATCTTGTATAATTTTGACTTATCCTTTAATATTTATCATAAGTTTGGTCCTTCATTTTTACTTAATGGTCATTCTTTTTACAATTTTGACCTAAAATTTTAAAAATAATTATAAATTTGGTTCCTTAATTTTTCTTTATGGCCCTAACATTTTTCATTTTTGCAGTTTTAACCCACAATTTTAATGTTTGTTATGAATTTGGTCCCAAAATTTTATTCTTTACATTTTGGGCCAATTTTAAGCTTTTATTAAGACTTTTTTGTTCAATTTTTTTAAACAAATTTTCCTTAACTTTGTTATAGCTTTCTTTTTATAAGAACTATTTTTTATTTTATTGTTTTACAAATTTTTCTTGATTTTTTAATATGTTTTTAAATTTTTTTTTTTTCAAATACATATTTGTTTTCATGTGTGTAAACACATGTAATTTTTTTTTTCAAATGTACATTTTGAGAACATAGTTTTTATTATAAATTTTGGCTAAAATTTATTACATTTTGAAAGCATATTTTCTATTTGGATAACATTTGTTATATTTTAGAAGCATTTTCATAACAATTTAAAGCAGGGGCGGAACACGAACCTTATTGGTAGGAGGGCCAAAATTAAATTTTCAAAAAAAATAATTGTATAAATATCAAATTAACCACAAAATTAACAAACTAATTATTTTGATCATAGTGAAATTGTTTTATGAAAAAATTAAATGTATTTATTATAACCAATAATGATGAAACTAACTAACAATCTAACATATATTTTCATATAAAATAAAATAACACTAAATAAACGAACATATTTAATAAACATGGTTATACTAAATTTTATATTTAACTATTTGTTAGATACCTTCGTTATATAAAATAAAATAAAGTATATGTGTTCAATTTTGATAAGTTAGTAGAATAAGCAAACAAATAGTATATAAACAAATAAAGTCAGAAGACTTTTTTCTATTCACATATTTAGTTTATCTCCCATTGACTGGTCACTAGCGGAAGAAATAAAAAAAGTGAAAGAGAATGACTAGTGAGAGAAAGAGAAAATAAAAAGAGAGAAAAAGAGGAAAGATAACACGTACAGTACAATCCAGTGAAAAGGAGAATGAGATGAACACAGAGGTTGTTGATCGGAGATGATGAGCAGTTCGGAAAAGGGTGGAACGGATATAAAGAAACGAAACAGACGTGAGCAACAAGGGCGAAGAACAGACAGAGCTCACACCAAGGCTAAGATCTATGATTCGGTGAACAGCGGAGGTGAGGAAGATATGATTTACCGGTGAGATTTGTCCGGTGGGAGAGATAATTTTTCATAGTTTTGTATTTTTATAAAGATTAAGTGAATAATCTTTGATTCTTATAGAGCTCAATATCCTATTTTTTTATTTGGATTCGTCTTTAATTCTTTCCTTAATTTCTGGTTGTTTGTTAGTAACTGATTTTATTCCTAACTATTTTAACCTGGTTTGAGTTCTTCATTTATTTGATTTTCTTGGATACATATATTTTAAACACCTCAGGGGCCATGAGATTGATTTTTTTTTTTGGATTTGTTACATGTATACAACTGGTATTAGTAAGGAAAAAACCGGGGTGGCCAGGGCCCCCTGGCCCTATACAGGATCCGCCACTGATTTAAAGCCAAAAAAGGTATACTAAAAATGCGTTCTAATTATCTTTTTTTTCTTTTACATACACAAAATATCCGCTACAATGCACGAGAATATGACTAATAGATCTATTTATATATCAAATCCCTATTGAAAACATTATTGATGTATGTTGTCAAGGGCACACAAACATTATCTAAAAAAACCTAAATCAAAGAGCCCAATCTATATTGAAATTGAAAATTTTACATTGTGAATGACGGTTGGATTCGAACCTTTTATA